GGGTGCTAGAGCCCAGATTGGTCCTGAGTTGCCCTTAAGCACACTTCCCTCCTTCCCCCCCAGGTCTGCCGGGGAAAGACACAGCCCTTTCCTTGCTTGTGACAGGCTTTTGGGTGGTCCAAGCTACCAAAGATCCCATCGAGCTCAGCACGTCGACACGGGGATGGTGCACGTGTGGGCAGTGCGTCTGGTTTGAGTTGCGATGCTCTTTGCCTTGGTTTCACCCTGACGTTATTTTGATGCCATTTGGGGTTTTCAGTTTTGGTTTTTTGGGGGGGGGGGTTGTATGTCTGTATGTATGTTTGCTTTATGTATGGAGTATTTGTTACAGGTAAATATAATTCTGCACCTGATACGGACTCTGGTGTTTCCTGCGGCGTCCGCTGATTGAATCCTGGAGTCATAGGACAGTTGGGCTGGAAGGGACCTCTGGCAGTCACGTCCGGTCTAGGCTGGGTCAGCCCTATCCCAAACTTGTCTCATCTAGGCCTAGTGTGACTCACTCAACCCTGTCACACAACTGTGAGGCCCGTTGCCCAAAGACACCAAAACCCCTGAACTTGACACAGGGCAAGCAGGGAGATGAGGGCTGGCAGTGTCCTGACACCATAAGGGGCGTTCACATGCAGCTGAGAAAAGCAGAGGCCATTTCTGCTGCTACAGAGGCAGGCAAATCCCCCCCAGTGCGTACCGGTCTGACTAGTGGGGAAATCCCTTCCTGCCCCCAGTGCAGCGTTGGTCTGACCCTGAGCGGAGGGGCAGGACCCTCTAGGTTTGAGTCCCAGCAGGAGCATTGGCACAACTCAGTGAGAGCTCAGTGCTTGTGCAGGATGGAGGCGCAGCAATGGGAAAGGGAGCCTGGCTTCTGCTCTGGCTGTTCTCCATCAGCCCAGTACCTAAGGTCATGGGGATGGGAACTGGGAAGCTCCCTTGGCTCTTTTGTGGGTTTGGGGAAAGGTCTGTGATACATGTGCTCAGACCCACAGTCGAACAGAGCCTGGCACCCTGCATCTTTTCCTCCCAGAAGGCAGACCTTTGCCACGCTGGTCCCGCAGGAGCCCTTGTGCTGCAGGAGTTGGGGGTCACGGGGGCTTTCCCCCATGCCAGCTTTTTCCAGGTGGGTGCAACCTTAAGGCTCAAGCCATTGAGCTGCTGCCACCCCTGTTCACAGCCTGCAACCAGGGTCCAAAGTGGGGCTTGAACTCCCAGCTGTAGAGCCAGCAGTGCTGGATGGTCCCCAAAAGTCCCTGCCCCCCCAAAAGGTAGCAGAGCAGGCTGGCTAGCTTGGGCCAGGCCCCAGGAGCTGTCCCCAGGAAGGGAAGGAAAGGGCCCCTGGCACCTGAACAAGCGGCTTTATCTGCCCATGGCTGTTCCCAGCACCCCTTGACATCTACCAGCTCCCTGCCTGCCCCCACTGCCATCCTGGGCAGCTTGTGGCTGCAGCAACATCCTCGTGCATGCAGTCGGGATCAGTGGCCCAGGGACTGGCTGCCACAGCGGCCCTAGGGCATGTGGGCCCGGCTTGGCTGCTGCGGCTGAGGTCTTGCTGGCTGCTGGCTCCAGTACCAAGATCCTGACCCAGGCTCCCCCCACATCTGTATGCTGCCTTCAGTGGGTGGTGATGGGGCAGCAGAGAGCACACAGGGCTTTTTTCCCCAGCATCCCAGACCTTTGCTCCCTCTGCCCTGGGGCTTCTGATGCCAACCAGGCCTCCACAGCCCAGGCTGCTCTGTACCCCTGCAGTCTCTGCCTTCTGCTTTCGGTACTTCCCTGCACACAGCCACAGGCCAGCCCTGCTCCCTCCCTGAGCATGCCTCTCAGCCCGGGGTGAGGCTTCCCCATCCCAAAAGCAACAGCAAACACAATGCAGCCTTGGGCCCAGCACTGTAACCTTACATTTGTTCTTGCCAGGCCATGCACCAGCTGGGCTGTATAACAGTCTGTGTCACCGAGTGCAGCTGGGCCCAGACTGGCAGAGATACCGTACATCGTTCAGGCTCTACAAGAGAGCGTGCACATGCTCACATTGAGCCTTCTCCCGTTTCCTAACTGTGGCATCCATTTGACTAGTGCCAGATTTTTTGCTTGTGGAGTGTGATTTCGTGGCTCTCTTGCTGCATCACCCAGCAGCCATGCAGACCCCTCCTCGCAGGCTGCTTTCCAGCACCATAGCTTCCTGTAGTGCTGCCTTGCTACAGCCTAGCCCAGCCAGCACAGCTACAGCTAGGCCTGGAGATTAAAGCCATTGGGATCAAATAGACAAGGGAGCTCTGGGCACAGGGTGTCAGTCTATTCTTCAGGCTTCGCTTGTAGCACATGTGACTGGGAAGGACTTCTGTCCCCTTCTGCTCCTACAGGTGGCCTAGGATTTCCCCCCTCCCTCAGGTGGGTGCAGCCCAGGCTCAGACCAGGACTGGGACCAACCACACAGGCTCCTGGTTAAACTGTCTTCCCCTCAGTACGGTGTTGCACTGGGGGCAGTAAGGGATTTCCCCTCTGCTCAGACTGGAGGGGTTTTGCCTGCTTCTACCTGAGGTCTTTGGCATGCATTTGAACACAGCTTGCAGCGTAGGGCTACTGGCCCTCATGGCACCAGTTCCTAGTGCTCTCGCATCTTGGGACAACAGGCCCCACAGTCACAGCTTTAGGACTGGAAGGTCCGTGTCCCATAGAGGGCCTGGCCCACCCAACCATACAGCCCTTACCCTTGGGACCCGGTGCTTACTCCTCCCTAGGGTCTCCCCAACCTGAACACAGCCAGCAGAAGTCTGCATGCCAGCAGCAGGTGCAGGCAGCTCATCGCCCAGGGCCAGACTGAGATACAGACATGGGCAAACTGGATGGCCACCCAGGGCCCAAAAATTAAAAACAAAAAAAAAGTTTTAATAATACATATACATGGAACTGGCACTGTATCAACTGAGAACAAACTGTTTAAAATACTTTGATACCACAGATGTGATAAAGATTTGTGCAACAAAAAAAAAACCAAAAACAAAAACAAAAAAAAAAAGTCATCATCTCTGGCAAAGGGGGGCCTGATACTAAGAGTTCACCCAGGGCTACCAGGAGTCTAGGTATGGCACTGCATAGGCCTGTGGGTTTGAGCCCTGACTCAGGCTGAGCCCAAAGCCAGTGCTACTTCCTGGGGCTGAATGCTGACCTGTTGCTCCCCACCTGCCCCCAGCTTCCACCGTGGGCTGGACCTTGTGGTGGATCAGTAGGGAGCACTCCTGCACCGAGCCAACCACATCATTGCACCCAACCACCTAGCAAGCTCTAAGTGCCTACCTGGAGCACCTCATGTCTGGCTGACCCCCTTTCTGGAGCATACCTGCCAGCCTGGGGTCACCACTGCCACCACCAAGGGTTTCTGGTCTGTCTTTGGCCCTGTGCCCCCTGAGGTACGCAGGCGTGACTCGCTGCTAGAACTTGGGGAGCTTCCTTTAGCCTGAAGCACAAAAAGTAGCCTCCCTTGGTCATCTGAGCCAAGGGAATAGAAAAGGCATGCCCAAACCCTCTCCCAGCAAGTCCACTACGCTTGGTACAGCAGAGAACTTTACTGGTACATAGGGCTGGCTTGGGGAAGGGCACAGGGTAGAGCTGTATTAAAGAATAATCTGAGAGCAAACAGTGTGGCTGGGTAGCCTTTGATCACACATCTGCATTACTGCAAGCTATATCGCAAGATAGTTTCCCTTAGTAGTTTACTCACAAGTATCATCCAGAGGCCGATTGAGCTTTCCTCTGGAGGCAGGCAGTTCCTGGTGTGTCCATGCATTGCAACAGAGTGAGAGCAAGATGGAGGCCCCTTACATACCCTGTTTGACCTCACCTCCAATCAATTTAAAAAGCATCACTGGTTACTTGGGGGTAGGGGTGGCAGCCCCCATCACTCCACCATGCCACGAGGTCACTGCTTAGGACCATAGAGGGCTCTCCCCTCTCCGTCATGTAGGCAGAGCTGGTTGTTTAGTACCCGAGATGGATGGAGGGGGGCACAGACCGGAGGCTGAAATGGGATTTTATCACAGACAGATCCTGCTCGACACCTGCTGCAAGACCCTCAGGTGCAGGGCAGCACCCCCCCAGCTATGCCAGGCCAGGACCCCTATGCCAGCTGCCCTCCCACACATGCCCAGCCCCACCTGGCCTTGCCCAGGAGGTCCTGTCCCAGGACACAGCAGCCAGAACCCAAAAATGGGAAACATACAGCCCCAGGTACAGGGAGGAGGGGCATAGGGCAGGAAGGAGCCACACCCCCCTGGGGCAGGAGCTGGGCTCTGTACTCACCTCTGCCTCCAACAACCAGCTCCCAGGGATGCCTGGGCATGGAGCAGCCAGGCCCCGTCTTTGCCTTACCCGCCACTCCCGGCTCCCAGGCTCTCTACCTCGCCTCTCCCCATCCGCCCAGGGGGGAGCTCCAGCAGGGCCAGAGCAGCACCCAAGATGAAGGTGGTGCTGAGCAAGTGCCCAGAGTGCATCCCTACCTCCAAGTCCCCCAGCTCATTGCACCGGGACACAGGCCTGTGCTTCTTGTGGCTTGCACACTTGCAGTGGAAGACGGGCCCAGGCCAGCTGCTACAGGGATCAGTGCAGTCTTGCCTGCAGTAGGCTCCAGCACCCCGCTGTGGGCTCAGCACCACATGGGACCCACATCAGCCCCGTCCCTGCCCTCCCGAAACTGCCAGAGGCGGTTTGTGCAGCTCAGAGCTGGAGCTGGCCAGCCCGGGTGGAAGCAGTGCCCCGAGCACGTGGCAGGGAACAAGTGGGGTCATGCACCAGCCCTGCCCCGAGCACGGGGCAGCAATGGGTCCCATCCTGCCCCAGGTGAGAGGGGTCTTCTGCCAACCCACAGCTATGGCCCTGCTCCAGCACTGGGGTTCAACCCAGCCAAAGCCCCTGGAGCAAGGCAAGTCCCTGCCAGTACAAGAGGAAGCACCAGCTGCGCCCAGCCCTGCTCCCCACGGCGCCCAGAGAGCAGAGGGAGGCGATTTGCATTGGAGTGATACACGAGGCCGTTTATTGAGCAGCAGGGCAGAGGCGGCCGGACTGGACCGAGCAGCGCGTGCGGCTCTGGAGCAGCGGGGGCGGCTCGCTGAGGACAAGGAGGAGGAGGAGGAACTGTGCAGCTATACAGGGCGTGGTGCCACCGCCGCTACATCGTCAGCTCCTGTAGGAGAGACCAGAGGCTCAGGCAGCTGCAGCGGCCCCACACCTGGAGGCCTTCCCTGCCTCAGTTTCCCTCTCTAGGGAATGGGGCCAAGGATACCAGCCTGGGCAGCGAGCCATGAGTCACCCCTGCCCCCTGCCAGCCCCTGCCCTTACCATGATGGCGTTGACGATGTCATTGTTGTTGTGTCTCAGCGCCCGCACGGCCTTGGGTCGCGACACGTTGGCCTGGGCCATCACCAGCTCGATGTCCCGCACCTCCAGCCCCGTCTCATCCACCTGCCGTGGGGAGGGAAGGGGGTCACGCTCTCGCCCAGCTCCAGCACCATTGGGGGAAATCCCCCCTCCCTGATCACAGGTCCCGGGGCATCCCCCCCACCCAGAAGGGACCGGGCCCAGTGGGGCACTGCAAGGTCTGCCTAGATCCTGGAGGCCCAAATGAGTCCTTGCCCCCTCCCCAGATGGGTGCCCGGCTGGTCCGCACCGGAAGCCACGGCTAAAGCAAAGGCTGGTGGCACATCTGGGGGAGAAGGACGAGTCCAGGGAGCCCAGAGGGCCCCTCCCAGGCTACAGTGCAGGGACCATGTCAGGCCACCCCCACCCAGGCTCCCACCTCCTCCTCTTCCTCGCTCTCCTCCTTGATGGTGAGGGTGGGGGCCGTCTCCGTGATCAGAGGCGAGTGCTCCATGGGCACCTTGAACTTCTCAGCCGCTGCCTTGTGCACTTGCTGCGACAGGTCCTCGATCTGCAAAGGGGAGCGGGGCGGGGAAAAAGAAAAGAGCAGGAGATGGGTGTCGGGGGCGAGGAAGTAGCCGCTAGCCAGCACAGTGTGAAGGCATTGAATCTGCAGGTGCAAAAAAGTCAAGCCGTCCTGTTGCTAGTGTCAAAGCAGAGCTGGCTTTATTTGGGGGTCAGCCCCACACGCCCTGTGCCTGTCCCCACTCAATTTGCAAGCAGCCTCCTCGGCACAACTGGTGCCAGGCCCGGAGCAGTGGGGAAGGTCGGGCGGGAGCTCCCGGGCAGGCCATGCGCTTCCTCCTGCCAGCGTGGCCCACAGGGGTCTGCCCCAGCTCAAACCCACCTTGGCCTCCCCGAAGACGATGTAGATGTCGGAGGCAGGGCTCTTGAACACGTCGGGCTTGGTGATGACGAAGAGGATGTTCTTGGACTTGCGGATGGTGATGCGGGTGACGCCATGGATTTGCCGCAGCCCCAGTTTGGACATGGCCTGTGGGGACACCGAGCCATGGGGCATCACACCAGGGCCTCCCGCTCCTGTGTGCTATGGGCCGTGCCCATGCCAGGACAGCCCCAGGAATGGGGCCAGCCTAGGTCCTGCAGCCGGACAACAGTCCCTGCCCCAGCCATGGGGTCTTCCATCAGCTCTGGTCCCCGGATCCAGCATCGCACCAGGCTGCCCTCTCCTGTCCCCTCCCAGCTCCGGGTGGCCATGGCGCCCGTCCCCCGAAAGCAGCTGCCAGCATGGGGGGGGGACCCCGACCCAGCTCCGGAGGACCCTCCCCTGCCCCCAGCCTCGGCACCGACCTTCCGGGCTTTCTTCTCGCTGCGGCTCTGCTTTGCTTTGCTGATGGTCTCCTCCCCGGTGCCCATCGAGTGCGTGAGCTGGGCCTGTGGGACGCGAGCCCCCGTGAGAGCAGCTCCATCCCCTGGCGCCAGAGACCCGCCTCTGCCTCCTCCCCTGTTACCCCAGGCTCCCCGCCCCACCGTCACCACCCAATGCATCAGGGCACGGCCCGTCTGTGCAGACGGCATCCCGAGAAGAGGGGAGACCCAGGGCAGCTGCAACCCAGGGGCTTGGGCTGCCTGCACTAGCCAGGTGCTGCTCCCTGCTCATCCGGGGAGTTTCGGCCACCTCCGGAGGAAGGGTTTCGCCCTCTACAGACCAGGTAGGGTCCAATATAGCCCCTGGGAGCCCCTTCCCTCCCCTCCAGCCTGAAGGCAAGAGGACGGCGAGACCATCTCTGGGCTATTGCAGGGTGCAGCTAAGGAGGGACCTCGCTAGCCAGGGCTGGCGCCCGGCTGTACCTGAGTCTGCACTGTCCGGGGCTCCGAGATGTCCGGCTCCTCCAGCTCGGGGATGGACTCCTCGTTGCTCTCCGAGTCGTTGCAGGACCCTGGGGAAGGAAGGGGACCGTGGTGGCTGAGGGCTCCCTGTGCCCGTGGCTTCCCGGGGACCAAGGACAGCTGGCGGGGCTGCAGCGGGGACCTGGACCCAGCCCTGGGGCTCCCGGTACTGCCTCCCCTACCCCGAGGGTGCAGCCACGCGGCTCTAGGCACCACCTGCCCATGGCCAGAGCTCAGGCGATGGGGCAAAGCAGCAAGGCTAGTGCCACCCAGGTCAGCGGGCACCTGGGACCCAAGAGAGCAGACACCCCCGTTTAGTCCCATTTGAAGGGGGCAACAACCAAGCGCTTCACCCAGCCCCCGGTGGTCAAGCCAGGCCCCACCTGGTCCGATCCGAGAAGCTCGGGGCAGAGATCAGCTCACAGCCTGGGGAAGAGAGGATGCTCCCCCATCCCGTGGGCCCCGCGAGAGCAGCGAGCCCCCTCCCGGCTCCCCCACCTTTGTGGTTGGCTTCGCGGCCCCTGGGCACCGCCAGTGGCTTCTTGTCTTCCAGCATCGCAATGCCGGCCGCCTCGCGCAGGCTCTCGATCTCGGGGCAGCGGTAGGGCAGCTCCCCCTCACTGGACGAGCTCGACTCGGAGGGCGCAGCACTGCGGGGAGCTCGCCTCTCTTCTGCCGGCGCCACCTCCTTGCCCCGGGGCTCCTTGCTGCCCGGGGCCGGGCGCCTGCCACGGGGGTCCTTGCTGCTGGGCGGCTTGTCCTTGGCTGGGACTGGCAGCACCAGGCTCTCGAGCGCTGTGGGAGAAGGGGGAGCTGCAGTCAGGGGCATCCTGCCACCTCCTTTAGCCCCCCAAGCTTTGTCCTCACCCCTCAACAAGCCAGGCCAGGGGCAGGACAGCCCCAGTGGCCAAGTCCAGGCTGAACCCCCCAGGCTGGCCAAGGACAGGAGTGGGGGGGGGGGGGGGCCCGGGCGGG